TCCTGTTTAGAGTTGCCTAGTCCACTGGTAGAACTCTACTTCTCCTTCCATTTTGCTTTGTGCCTGGAATAATTATCTTGATAGCTCCCGGCTGCTTTATATGATAATTTTGTCACAAGTATTGTTGTTATTCTTCTTTATGCTTATCGACATTTTAAACTAAATGTGAGAAAGAGTTGTCATCTTAGTTGATGTATTGCATTTGGTTTCTTATAGGTATCACACTGGAAAAGGTAGATCAGGGTTCTGTGGGGACACTTGTTGATGTGGGTCTCAGCAAGGTATCATCAGTTTAATATTGTTTGCTTTCTCCAGTTGTTAGTGTTAGGAGTTAGTAGTTGCAACTCTCTTTTTCTCTCATTTTTATTTATTTATGCCCTTTTCCTTTATTATATTTCTTTCTTTTGTCTTGATAGTTTCACTTTTTCTGTGGTGCTGCTTATATGTATCTATTAGATTGTCAATAATTTACTTCTGGCTAGTACTAAACATTAATCCAAAGCATTGCTGTACATGCCAAAGGCAATTCAATGTTTTAAACATGATATTGTCAATTATGACAAATTAGGGAATCCGGAGACATTAAATAAGCATTCAGGTTGGAATGTTGTATAAATAAGCATGTAACATATGTAACAAGCGCATTTCCCAGTTAACTTAAGTTAGATCCTTTACAATTTAATGCGCTGATTTTGCAGAATGTTATAATCGATCAAGTTCTTGAACGTGGAAGAAGAGTTACAGTGGATATGGGGACAGATCGTAATCTAGATGCAGGTCAGTAAACCTTCTTTGTCTCTCTTTGCTTTTTTGTTTTTTCATTTTTCTCCTTTTCTTTTGGAGAGTGAAAGCACTGAAGGAAACTGACTAAAAATACAAATTTTGTAGGTCCACGGAAAATTGTCTCTTCTTTGACGCCTATGGAAAAGGGTATGTACTGGGGATATAAGGTCCGATATGCTCCAAATTTTAGTTCTCTGTTCAACAACTGCCCATACCAGGTCTCATTTTTGTTTTCCTTTTTTTTTTTTTTTTCTTTTCTCTNTTAGAGCTTTTCTTGAGTGTGCATGTAAGAGTGCCTTGCTTGCTAAATATTTTATTTTCTGATCAAAAAGGGAGGGTATGATTACCGAATCGGTACCTCAGAACATGGGGTAGCTTTTAAACCTTCGAAGCTTGCTCTACCATCATTCAAGTATGCAATCTACCCTGATAATGCACTGTTGTAATTCTTTGTGCTTTATACCTATAATTGCGTTTAGTGTAAGTACTCGATGGTTTTACAATCTATAAGCAGAATTATATTCTTTTTCCCCAGCAAATCGCATACCATTATTTCTTAAAAATAGGATTTATCAATCAAGTAGTCCGATATTACCATATGAACTCTGTTTTATTTCACAACTCATTGATATATTGTTGTTCAGTAGTGTCGTTTATGTGACTCATATTGAGCGTCCATCAAGATTTTGATTTAGAATTCTTACAATTTTAGGCATCTTTTGATTGCTTTTGGTGGACTTGCTGGGTTGGAAGAGTGTGTTGAAGAAGACGCAAATCTGAAGGTATTTGACCTAGAGACCTTTTCAAACATTAACTGTGGCTTTTGATTAAATGCTATTTTCAGCCAATTCCGAGCTTGTTATTCGTGGATCTTAACATTGCATTTTCCTTCAAATCAGTTTAACATTATAAATTTCATAAATCAGTCAGATACTAGTTTCTTTCACTAATGAGTTAAGCCAAATCTCTAAAACTAGTGATGTTTTAATTCCAGGGGAAAGATGTTCACAGCATATTTGACTCGTATCTAAATACTTGTCCCAATCAAGGGAGCAGAACTATTCGGACAGAGGTAAGAAGCTGTTTTCTATCAAAATAAAGAAATAAATAAGAAAACAAAAAGGAAAAATGTCATTTCTTTTTCCCATAAAACAGGAAGCAATCTTTATATCACTCCAGTATTTCCAAGATCCAATTAGACGTGCTTCGAAGAGGCATAAATATGAGTGCGAACCTCTATAGTTTGAACCTGGCAAAAGGCTGGAACAAGATGACATCCTGCAATAAGACAGTTGATGGGTTCTGGCAGGTCATCGAAATCAAGTTGGTACTTACATGTAGACATGGAGTTGTGGGAAAACTAAAATGTGTTGTGTTCTCAATTTCTTTTACATTGGTTGACCTATTGTAGACTATGTTTGGAGACATGAGTATCCATGACATCCTAATTTTAGTAAAACTTGATTTTCTCAACTTTTTAGGGTTATGTTCAGCCTACAAATTTGTGATGATTATCTTGTATCATGTTTATTTGCTCGAATAAACCTTTGATATGTGGCATTAGGGACACTTTTACCTTCTGCAACGCGTGCTAGTTCAAATGCCATAGTTGGGCAGTTCATTATTCTTATTAGCTAAGGTCTTTTGTTATTTACTATTTTGTAAATAAACAAGGACGACTTTTGTTGTGGATGGAGACTCAATTTCAATAGATGGTCAAATTCAGTACACAGTCCAAATTTTTTAACTACAACCAGTGGACACCCGAATTTGTTATAGGGTTTATTTATTGAGAAATGATATAGGTACATAATATTATACATAGAAACGTACATAATATTTACAGTAGGTCCTACTAAAAATAACAAATCAGGTGAGTGTTATGTACAATTATGTACATTTATTATGTATTTATATCATTTTTCTTATTTATTATACACCGACCGACTTTGAACGTCATTTTCTTTATTCCCATTGCGTGCCCAACTTGTATCACTGTCATCCATTGCCTGCTTTTGCCTAACTTGTCGTCCTTTCCCTGCCTCACAACAATAAAATCACCCACAAATTACACATTATTCACCCAAAACCCCAACTTTCGCCACCGTCCTTCACCGCCGTCAGCCATGGTCAAACAAGTACAAACCGACCTCTCTCCCGTCCTCAAGCTCTACACCGACGGCACAGTCGAGCGTCTCTTCGGCTCCGCCCACGTCCCGCCGTCACCGGAGGACGCCTCCACCGGCGTCTCCTCCAAGGACACCGTCATTTCTCCGGAGGTTTCTGCCAGAATCTACCTGCCGAGGATCGCCGGCGGCCGCCGGAAGATCCCGATCTTGGTGTACTACCACGGGGGCGGATTCTGTCTGGAGTCCGCCTTCTCCTTTCTCGACCACCGCTACATCAACCTTGTGTCCGCCGCCGCCGGAGCACTGGTGGTCTCCGTCGAGTACCGCCTGGCCCCCGAGCACCCCCTGCCGGCGGCGTTCATTGACTCGTGGGAAGCCCTAAAATGGGTTTGCTCGCACGGGTAACAAAAAAAGCTTGTACAGTAATTTTAGTCCTTTTAAGTTATAATATATTGAAGTTGTTAAAAAAAAAAAAAAAACTTTTTATCTCTTTTGTCTTTCAAATCTCATCTCATATAGTCTAAAAAGTTCAAACAATATTACAGTAATAGATAATTGAATAATTCATAATTTTTTAAAGCTTTTTAAAATATGTAATGCATACTTCTATAAATTGGATTTTTCATTTTTATTTTTTCATCGAGAAGAGTTCAACAATATAAAAGGCTAATTGGGTAAATATGCAATTTAAATAGTTATATTTTATTCAGGGCTCATAGTGACGAAAATACCCATTTCGAAAAGGACGAGTGGATCAACGACCACGGGGACCTCAACCAGATCTTCGTCGGCGGCGACAGTGCCGGCGGGACCATAGCTCACAACATCGCCCTGCGAGCCGGGTCGGTTCCCCTGCCCGGAAACGCCAAAGTCGCCGGCGCAATCCTTTCGCACCCGTATTTCTGGGGATCCGACCCGATTGGAAACGAACCGAAAGAGGGCATCGAAGAGACCTTACTCTACAGGCTGTGGATGTTCGCGCACCCGACGGCCGCCGGAGGGATCGACAACCCGCTGATCAACCCGCTTGCCGACCCGGCCATATCCGGGCTGGGATGCTCCAAACTGATGGTCAGCCTGTCGGAGAAGGACCAGCTGGCGGCGAGGGGTTTGGCCTACGTGGAGAAGGTGAAGGAGAGCGGGTGGAAAGGCGAGATTGAGGTGGTGGTGGTTGACGGCGAAGACCATTGCTTTCAGATTTTCGATCCGGAAACTGAGAAGGCCAAGGATCTGATTTGCCGCATCGCGAATTTCATTTCAGGGAGTGGGAATTAGGGTTTCCGATTTGGGGAATAATAAATTGAAATGCTCCACCATTTAGTTCGTTCCTGTTTTGAGTTTGTGCTGCTGGGATTGTATTATTTTCCTTTGTTTTATGATAATTATTAACGGGTAAATTTCACTTTTGGTACCCATTGGACATTTTAAATTTACTGTATTAGGTTTTGTTCACTTTCAAGTTAAAACTAAGCAAGCTCTATGAGTTCGAGTTCTTGTGGATGCAGAAAACTCTTGTTGAGAGACTCACCCACCACTTACAGGTGTGCGACCCGAGTCGATCAACGGATTAGTCGGGGCATAGTTTCGGATACCGTGGCTGGCTACTCGAAAAAAAAAATGATATAACTAATAATTAGAAATAAAAAATAAAAAAACAAAGCGCACACACAAAAAAATGACATAGATAGAAAAACACATTTCTTTCCAGTACAAAACTAGGATTTTAACTCATGAGGGCTCGATTTTAAATGTTAAATAACGAGTTTGTTAAACGCTCATTTCACATAAGGTTGTGTTTATTTATAAATATAAATATTGATATGTTTACCGTCAAATTTTTAAAAACATAGAATCTGTATCACCCTCAAATATTTTTTAAGAAAAAAAATAAAATGAGATTTCGTGTATTTATATTTAAGTTTAAGATCATATAGTTTATAAAAAAAATAAGTGTTTTTTGTTGGAAATATGACTTAAATTGAACTTTTGCAGCACATTGCATAACATTTTTGTTGATAAGAGTTAATCAAATGATTGTTTTTTTAATAAACAAAGAAATAAATTTTAAAGTATGCGAAAATAAAATAAAAATCACCATTCAAATATACAATCGATCAACATTCAAAAACTCACAATCCAACTAAACTCTAGGTTTTATAAATTATTAAATTGAATTAAAATTAAGAGAGTAATAATTATAAATATTTTAAAAAAATTATCCAAAAATATAAAATATAAAAATTGTTAGTACACTTTTTAATAAATAAATGATATTATTACTTTAAATTAAAATATCTTTGAAAAGAAGTTTTAATTTTTTATATATTTTATATATTTTTTACATTTTTATTCATATTGTATAGTGTTCTTATTTATTTGTATATATATAATGATTTTAAAAAAATTTGACGTGGGTCCCCCTGGACCTCATGTAGTCCGTCCTTGTTTCTTCCCATACATTATTATTGACTGTTCTTGCGGTTATAAAAATATATTTAATTAAAATATAAATTCAAAATAAATAAGTAACAAAAAATAAAGTAGGAAAACTTGAAAGTATCGGTTAACACACACACACCTTTGACACACACATGACTTGCGAGCTCGATCATGCACGAAGGAGCGACCCGGATAAGACCAACAAAGATAGAGTCGGAACACAATGGTATGGTGGCATGCGATCGACTGGTGCCACAACAACCATTGTGCTGCCGAAAAAAAAATAATAAGAACGGGATAAAAATAGGCGAAAATGGGTTTACATGGAAACAAATATAAATGGGACAAATGATGGATCAAAAAATGCATGCGGATGAGACGAATATGAGGTTGCTCTCAATTGAGAAAGAGGAAAACACACGTGACCACTAATAGCTTTTAAAGTCGACGAAAACCCGAGGTTTTGGTCGAGATATATGCCGGAAATAAACCAAATAATCACATGGGGCCGCTTCTGACTGGAAATACATGGGGATGACATAAGTGAACTCATATTAGGATGTTGATGATAGTTCGGTACTCGAATTGAGAAAATCGAAGAACGGCGTCGGAAATTTGACCAACAAATCAAAGACGTTTAAGTATTAAATATGCAAATCGCCAAAGGATGGGTACGATACCTACCTTCGGTGTGAAAAGTAAAATTTACCCAACAAGTAATAATACTCGTGATCAGATCCTTGTGGTGAAATTTGTTCTATGTATGCATTTGCATATTTACAAAATATAAGAAAGAAAAAATGAGACTTTACAAGTATTAACTTTTGTTTGAAAAGTACGACGGTGGATCGGTCTAAATGTAGTTATGTAAAGGGGTGTAGCTAATTTTTTTCTTACCCTGAGACTATGTGTTGCTACTACATGTTATGTAGAGTTTTACTTCAAATTGATTTGTTAGCGAATACAATTTAGTTAAATTTGTGAAAACTATAGCTCGAATTGTTTATATAATTGGACAAATGAAGCTCGTTTATTAAATAAGTCGAATCAAGCACGAGGGCAAATACTATTATTGTTGGTGCATATACTAAAAGCTTGGCTTTTTACTTAATATACACTGTCTTTTTTTTGAATGAGAATCATGTTTAATTAAATTGTCTTATGTTCTGATGTCTTACATTTGGATATTGTGGTTCATCGCGGGTGAACAGAAAACCACATATTGGTTACTTGTAAAACAAAAATAATTAGTTCACAACCTAAATAGATATGAACAACCCATCGCAAACAGTTGTAGTGTTAACTATAAAGTCTATGTTGACTGATTGGTTGCATTAATGCACTGTGTGCATTGAACAGATAGATACCAGAGAGGATAAGTTTGTTTTGAACTGATCAGTAAACAAATTACAACTCGGATAATTATTGCGTACTCTTAATCCGTAAGATATAAACAAGTACGTGCATACAGTAGTTACTACTTTGATTCACCAAAAGGTGAGATTCATTCTGTTGGATCAACAATTTAATGTGTTTTGGGTAGTGATGTTGTATCTATGGTGTGTTGTTCGATTATTTACGGTCACCCTGTGCGATAGATTGATGATGTCCCCGAAATGAGCTCAAAAGAGATTATTATGTTAAACCCTGCAGGTGGATTAAGTTCCGACATAATAATAAAGCATTGAGTGGTACTAGTTTCGGCACAAGAAGTCAATTAATATATTATCAGTAATTAACTAATTGACGAACATTATATATTAAACATGGGAAGATAAATCGAGTAATTATTATCAGAACCTCACATTGTAATTTAAGAGCCAAATAGGGAGATCAACAGTTTTTGTTTAGTGGACTGAAGAATCGTTCAAATATAAACGTAGTGGGTTTGGCCCGCAGTTGGGCTCATATTTTGTAAGCCCATATTGGCTCCTTCTTAGGCTCCCTATTGTGGCCTATAAATACACTCCTCATGGTGACGAAAATCATAAGTTGAGATCTTTGTGAGTTAGTCGTCCGCCGTCCGTGCACCGTGAGGTAATATCAAGGCAACTAAGCTCCGGCCACCGTCCGTCGACCACAGCCGTCCGCCGCCGTGCACCGTGACCGAGCGCCGCCCAACTGCGACCGAGCACAGCACGCGAGGCCCATCCGCGACCTGCAACCCGCGCATGACTACGCCAGCCGAGACGCCCCCACCGCATGCGAGCAACTCACGCGACCCGAGTACCCTGCACGCAGCTCGCGAAGCACGCGTCTAGTTCGGCGGATAAAAATTGTGTGTCTCGATGCACGATTTTGCCTCAAAGGATACGAAGACCGCTTCCTTCTCGACAATAAGTTGCTTCAAGGATGCTAGGACACCTCCTTTTCAGCGATAGGATGAGGTAGCTTGGACGTGACTCCTTGCCAACTCAAACTTGCAATGAACGATTCGATAAACACCTCTTCGACATATAATTTTGTGAGTTGTGCGGACTTGGATATTCGATACTATATATGCAAAATAATTTTGCATATCTAGAGTTATGCGGTGGATTTGGTTATTCGATTAACAAATATGTGGAAGTGTTTCGCATAATTATTTATTATACGTCCGATTTGGATATGCATTGGTATATACACGACAAAATATCGCTGTTGATGTCTAAGAAATGACCAACAATGCATTCGAACTGTATACTGAGATGTATACTCGGTTCGGTCTGCACGAATAGGAATTTATATGGGATTTGGTACAAAGGATGTACGAATGTGAAGCCTATCCGTGACTTATATGGTATTAATGAGAGCATTTACTCATCGCATTTAATGTTGCCTCTTGTTCCTTTTATAGGAAATGTGAAGACTTATTACAATCCACTTTAGGGATTTTATTTGTCATTTTCTATTACAACATATCGTTTGATATTTAGTCACACAACATTTAATGCTATTGTACTACATAATTGATAGATAGAAAAATGTGCACGTTTTATATATTTAATAGTGTATTTTTATACACTAAATTTAGTCGCACGTTATTTTTTTCGACGTATTCATTATTTGGATGAATTTATTTGCTTTGATGTTTTATGTGTTATTTTTAGGATTTTAGAGTATTTTGTGGATCCGGAGCATTGGACGAGCGTTCGATCAAGTCAATGTTGGGCCCAATACCGGTCACTATTTAAAGTCCAAGCGGACACTTACGGCCCAAATTTATAATAAATCGAGAGCCATTGTAAATAATGGATGGTTGCCACCACTTTTGGATCCCACCAAATTAGTTTTAATTCAATTGAAAGTATTGGGTTAATGAATTGAAAATATTGGACGTTTGTGGGCTGGAAACTTTTAATTGGAGGAGTTTTAATTAGTTTGGCATTAGGAATTATTTGCTGAAGTCAACACGTCTCCCACGGAAGAAGGATAAATTTTGGAGCTTGGGATTTTATTTTTGCGAGACGGACAGAAAGTCGAGAGGAAAAGCCGTAAGCAGTAGAGAGAAAAGAAACGCAGCAATCGCACGGATAGAGAATATCACACACGGAGGAAAGCCGCACTCGTACACGAGGGAGATTTTATTCTCTCTCTTTTATCTTTTATTTATTTCTTTTTAGTATGTTAGGCTAATATTTTTATCTAGTTTTAGGGGATGTTTAAACCCTAATTTTGATTTGTCTATGGATTGAAGAATTTATATTTATCGTTGGTTAATCTAGACGCCGTATTTATTTTTGTTGATGAGTTGATTCATGCTATCTGTGTTGAATGTTTATGAATTATGGTGTTTGATTTAGTTTAACCAGCTGGATTAAATATTCATAATTTAATTGCTAGATTCGTGACTTTAATCCGTAATTGTTATTGTCTCGTTTCGTTAGTAGTAAACTAGGGGTCGTGCATCTCTAGGGTAGCGTGAACATAAGTTAAATGGTCCGAGCTTGTGCATCCATTGCTTAGACTGATCTATTTTCCCAGAAATTAATGCTGCTAGTGCATTAAATCTAGAGAGCTTATTCTAGGTTGTCCGCTAGTTAGGTTTATTCGAAGAGCTTATTTCAATTAAATATTCGGTAAGGGAAAATTCGGTTAACAGAGCTTGTTGTTAGCTAGGATTGGTAATTCATTAGCAATTTAAAGAAGGTGTTGGAATTAATTAACGGTAGATTTAGATTGGATGATAACTCAACCGAAAATTGGATTTCTCTTATTTGATTTGATTTTTATTTAATTTGATTTTTATTTTTAGTTTTATAAATCAATCCCCTCATTTTTACTGCTTTCTTAGTTTAAATTCAATTAATACGAGAACAGTCATAATTTAATTCCTGCTCCTCGTGGGATCGACCCTTACTCGCCGCTACTACTAGTTAGTAGAGGTTAGTTGAGGAAAAAAATATAAATTTAAATTTGCCGCGTCGCGACGTGCGGTCAATAATCTCATCTCAATAAAGTAACTTCAGCCGGTTTGCGACACGTGTCCATTCTTGTTAAACACCCTTAGATGGATGATTACCGAATCCTGCTGCATTAAATGCATATCGTAACGGGCAAATCTTGATGATGATTAGCTCTGGTCGGACACGCCACCCCTGGTGCGCCCGTTCATCGTCTCATTCGATCCCTTCCCTCGTATCGCCCACATAGACCCGAACAGGCTTTTATATAATATAATTTTTCTATCCGTTCGGTCTCTACCCCGCATAATCGCATAATTGTTAATTATGCGGTTCATTTTTTTGGATATGTGTATATCGCATATAATTTCATGAGTTGTAGGGTGAAAAAGAAATGTTTTGATAAGACAATGTGTAAAAAAAGTGCATGTATATATTGGAGTATAAAAGAAATTATCCCTTAATATTATTATTTTAGTTTTCCTGTGTATTTATTATATAGAGTCGTCTTGGATATTATCTTTATTTATTTTCTTATATAGGGAAGGAATAATGAAGGAAAGATTGAGGTGGCTGAAACATGAAGGCGAATCTCTCGACTATTATGGAAGGAAAATGTCGTAGATATGGACAAATTTGATTCGGATTGACAGGATCTCGCATATATCCTACACTGCTTCAGGACTTCCATGTTCAAGATGATTCTGAAGATCTTAAAGGCCACATAGTGATGGAAACTTATCTACCTTGAAGATCTTGAAGCCTCATGACCGAAAGAACATGAGATATATATTTGCAAATCTTTATTTTTCTATATACAAACTAAGAGAGCGAGCTCTGAATGTACTGAGTATTTTAAGAGTTTAGAAGTTCACTTTATGTTGTATTTTATAGATTTAGCCTTCAGTTTGTATTCTTACGGGCTGAAAGGTTGGAACTCATATTTGTTCTGTTTCAATTACAACGCTTGGGAGAAGTTTTATTTGCCTTGAAGGCACCTGCTGTAGAAATTTTAAGTCCACGAGTTGGTCAGAATAGTAGCTAGGAAAGTGGAATGTAGCAATTAGATTTTAAGAGAGTCTTGTAAATCTAAATTACGCTATGTGCGCGTGGTCATTTACTAGTAAAAAAATTCTGAGGAGAAACGAGACGCTTTCTGAAGAAGTTTTGTTATAACCACTTTTCACGTTATTTCTGTATTTCTACATACAAAATGCACGCGTGCACTCACTGATATACTTCATCCTTGACCAAAAGTCAATGAAGAAGAAGGTTGCAACCGAATATAATTTTTTTATTAGCCAAAATTTATTTAATTGAAATAATAATTAAATAAAAACATAATATTTAGACATAACTAAAATATTAATTATTGCTATATATTTTTTCAAATAAAACATAATATTTAGACACTCTCATGTTCTTTATTACTAATTTGTTACCAATAATTATTATTTTTTATATTACATTTATTTTAGTCATTAAATTTCTCTGCTTTGCATTTGCAAATTTNATCTTACTGGTTCCGACGGCTTGTAGCTTCAGACGATTAAGGATAAGCTCCACTTGACTGCTCCCTCTCCCCGGTTCTCTGGCGTTGGGTTCTGGGGTGCTTGTTGTTGGTACCGAGCTCGCTAGTGGCGGTAGTAGGCTCGGTACTGTGGCGGCTGGTTGCAATCTTGGTGTTTCCCGGCTTAGGGAAAAATCGGCTTTTGAGTGTGTTCCAATGCTTGGGATTCGGCTCAGCTAGGCGGTTTCGGCAGTGGCGGGATCGGCTTTCTTGGGCTGAGGGATTCCCCTTGGTTTGATTTGGTGACTGCTGGTTCGGTTTGGAATTGCTGCTGTGGAAGGCTCGTGTTATTTTTTGTTGTTTCTGTGTTTTTTGTTTTATTTAGGTTTCGCTTGTTCTTATTTGTCTTCGTTGTTTTGTTTTGATTGTTTGTTTAGGTCTTGTTTTTTTGGTTTGGGTCGTTGACCCATGTACACCCGAGTGTGAATGTATTATCCTGTTGGGATTGTATACTCGGACATTATCCTGTTGGGACCGTTTTTCTTAATTTCTTAGTTTTTAGTTTTTGTTTGTGTTGCTGTGAGTATGCTATTCTAGCGTTGTTAGGTCAGGCTCTATGCGATCTTCGAATCTGTTCTCTCAGTATTTTCAGCATTTGGTTAATTAAAAAAAAAAAAATATGTTTCTCTTAAAGAAAACCTTATATTTAATTGCACCCTGTGCTGCTGGCACGTNAAATTGTCCCCAACATCTTCTAATTCTTTTATTCTTTCCCTCTCAACAACTTCATCTCTTTCTTGAAGAATTCAACTAACAGCTGACCTATTCAATTCAACCCACTTTCATCAACTCCACCTAGCAAAAACTCCCGTCCCATTATGTTTTTCTTTTCCCTCTTTCCCTAAAAAGCTCAATCAATCTTTTTATCTCTCAGCAGCATCGACCATGACCATTTCCCCTGTTCTATTGCTCTTCTTTCTCCTCATCCCAGCTTCATCTTCTCAGCCCGTCAGAGGTAATAGAGAGAGACAGAGATTCTGTTTTTCCCCTCTATTGATTTTTTGATTGAATTTAAGCACGGCTCTTTTGAAACCTTGTCTAGATTTTATCCGGGCTTGCCTTTTTTCCAAATAAAAATTCAATCTTTATTGTTTTCTAGGCGGTTTCTTGCTTCATTTCGAAAACTGAATTGATTCTGTATTTTCCACGAATTTCTTTCACTACAGGTGTGTTCATTGACTGTGGAGCTAATGCTGGGTCCACAATCAACGGCCTGGATTGGGTGCCAGACAACGCGTACATATCCACGGGCACATCAAGAAATGTCATACAACCAGTTCTCATCTCAACTCTTTCCACCGTCCGTACGTTCCCTCTCGATAACACCATTTCAAGAAAATTCTGCTACGAAATTCCAGTCGACCGGACTCAAAAATATTTGGTCAGAACAACTTATTACTATGGTGGTGTGAATGGAAACATTAACCCACCCGTTTTCGACCAAATAGTGGACGGGACCTTGTGGAGCGTGGTGAACACTACCGAGGATTACGTGAGTGGGAATTTAAGTTATTACGAGGGCATATTTATGCCAACGGGTAAAAATCTTAGCGTGTGTTTGGCTGCGAATAGGTATACGGATTCGGACCCTTTTATTTCTGCTCTTGAGGTTGTGCTCTTGAGGGATCAGCTGTATAATTCGACCGATTTTAGAGCTTACGCCTTAAGTTTGGTGGCGAGGCACAATTTTGGGTATGATGGGGATGTTATAGGGTGAGTTTTTTTGCTTCCATATTGCATTTTCCATTGTTTGTTCTTTCCAAGTTTTTGATTTGATGGTTTATGAGTGGAAAAGTTGAAGGAATAGTTTAGATAGTGTGTTTCTTAGTTTTAGAACAGTTTGCTACTTATATACTTAGGAACTAAAATGCTAATGGGATTTCATGTTATCTTATCAAAATTGAACTGATGTTGTCTAGGTAGTTATCATTTGTAGTTGGGCTATTAGTTTGTGTCTGATGGTTTATTTGGGGAAGTTGTAATTTGTTTTGGATTTTTATGTGGGAGCTTCTGCTTGTAGATCAATTGATTTTTCATAGAAAAACAAAAAATTAACTGAGGGTAATCGAAATTGCCTCTTTGGGTTCAAGATTCTGATTAGCTCATTCACTTTCACAAGCAGAAATTAATATATTAAAGAGAGAAAGAAAAAAAGGAAAGTAACCCTAAAATCTTTTCATTTTTCTTTCTTCTAGTTCAAAATTGGCANTTTAATCTAGATTAATGTCCTGCTGCATAATCCCTGCATTAACTTTTTCCCTCAAAACAATCATTTTTGCTTTCCCTTTTCATCTCACTCAAAAAATCTATATAATAATCAAATCACCAGATACCCGGATGACCAGTTCACTCGCTATTGGGAGCCGTTTGGATTGGATGCATTTCCACAATCTACTTCACGAAGCCTTGCTGTTTCTGGCATCTGGAATTTGCCCCCTCCGATTGTTTTCCAAACGCGCCTTGCAAGAAGCCTAGTCGAGCCCCTCACCTTACGCTGGCCTCCATTTTCTCTACCAAGCTCGCAGCTTTACTACATTGCTCTTTATTTTGCGGACGATCGAGTTTCTTCTACAGGGAGCCCAAGAAGAATGGATATAACCATCAATGGCATTAATTACTACAGTAACTTGACTCTCATGCCAGATGGCATGGTTGTGTTTGCAAACCAGTGGCCACTTGGAGGAATTACGAATTTAACCCTGACCCCAGCTCCTGGTTCGACTTCCGGCCCTTTGATTCATGCGGGTGAGATTTTCCAGGTGATTCCTGCAGGAGGGAAAACTCACACTCGAGACGGTATGTTTTGCTTCTATTTATAATAATTTCTTGGGTTCTTTAAAAAAATATTGACATTGTAAAGGGATTTAAATTTGAGCATCTCTCATATTTCTGTTTTTTCGTTTCTATTTCTATTTGAACCTTGAAAGAGTACACTTAATTGCACATGGGCCTGAAATATGCCACCAGGATTCCAATTTTTAGTAGTCTCGTGCTAGACCAGAACTTTTAATTCGACGGCTTTCATTATATAGATCCTTTTCGGAAATGTTTTCTGCAGAAGTGAAAAGCATTAGAGAAACATGAATCGGTAATGTTTGCAGATCAGAGCCAAAAAGCTAAATAAGTTAAAGAAAGACTGTATGGTGAATAACTTACAACCCTTACCTAAATTTTTAAAAGAACTCGAACCCATATGCAGGTATTAGAGAATCTATAGCACCCTCCTTAAATTCCAATCACTTTTAGATTCTAATTAGGCCGTGCAAAGTTAGAAGTTCGGTTTTGCTCTTTCAAAACACTAAAAGCTACTTGATATCTTTATATTATTCTTTTGCTTGAATATTGATGCTAATTTAGTTCGTATGGTTCTACTTTGTCGTTTTTCCATGCAGTAATTGCTATGATAAGCTTGAGAGAAAGCTTCCAGAACACTCCACCTGACTGGAAAGGTGACCCGTGTCTACCCAGCCGATATCCATGGACTGGGGTTACTTGTTCTGGTGGATCTCGTATTCGCGTAATCTCTTTGTAAGTAGGAGTTTACCAATAATATTAATACATTAGCATATTTGTGCTTGCACTTGACTCATTCTTTTTCGTGTTATATCTGCAGAAACTTGACAAGTATGGGTCTTTTGGGGTCGATTTCGCCAAGTATTGCCAGGCTTACAGCACTGAGTAGCATGTGAGTGAATGTATTACAATAATTATTACATTGATAAATTTTTGTTTCCTTAAATTTTTCGTTCTCATGCACGTTAAAAGCTTCTTGTTATATTTCGGCAGCTTGCTTGGAAATAACAGCTTAACAGGAAGTATTCCAGACCTGAGTACGTTGAGGGGATTGCAGAATTTGTGAGTCATTATATGTTTTCCTTTTTTTTTCAGATTTTGAGTTGTTACTAAAGAGAATTTCGTAAGAGGAAGAATTTTTGTACATGATTTTCGTGAAATGGATATTATAAGCTCTCAAACAGATTTCTTCAGAATCGTCATTGTTAAGCATTTTGCTGATCATTTTTTTACAACTTAGGCTCTCTTCATTAGCTAATAGATGTTTTTAAAGTTAATAAGCTCAACCAAACATCTCTTTCAGCACTAAAAGAATTCAGATCACTAATCTGGCACCTTTTGTTCTATCATCTAGAGTCAATGCTATATAAACTATATATAAGCTTATATTTTTCATTTTTTTCGCTTTTCCTTTTTCCTAATTTCCACCATATTGTGAACGTCAGGCATTTGGAAAACAATCAGCTAGGTGGGACAATACCTCCATCACTGGGAAGTTTAACCAACTTAAATGAACTGTAAGTTCTCATCTAAGCAGTTTCATGTTAAGTTTGAAATTTCTTGTTACCCCACTCTATAAATGATCGATTTGATTTTTCGAGGAGAATCGATTTCATTGTAAAGTGTCCCTATCGTATTCCCATTTCTGCTGCACTTGTGAATCATGCTTCTTTTCTTTGTACTGCATTTTGGCTCATTACTGAACCAGGAAAGTCTCAATACACATCTAAAAATGCATTATTTATGCCCTTGGGCACATATTAGTTTCAATCATTAATTTTTTAATCTCTTGGGCATTTTTTCAATCTAGAAAGCCAATCATTTTCCCGCATCCAAGAAATCTTCTCATGCCTCCTCTATTGAAAATGACATTAATTCTTATTTCCTCGGCATATAAATTTTTTCCATGACTTTCTGGAAATAACAATTTGGCTCTTATGATGTAATTTTTCTAATCTTACCTCATTTTTCTTTGATCAGCTTCCTACAGAACAACAATTTAACAGGTCAAGTACCTAGCAGCCTTACCCAAAAACCTGGATTAACACTAAGGTAACTTTCTGTAGAGTTGATAGTTGTTCTTTTCATTCTCATGTGTTTTTCTTTTTCTTTTTCTTTTCCCTTTACTTTTCCTTTCAAATTTAGCGGTTAATAGATTGAAATTCTATCTTCTTAGGTACACTCCTGGAAATCCATTTTTGGCTCCATGACATATTCAAGGATATACTTAACTATTTCTTTTTGCGAGTCATACTTCCTTCATGTTAATGCATTGCCGCTAGGAATATACATATTGTCTGTTTGTCAAGTTATGTGTGCACTGTTTTGGTGTTGTAAAAAAAAAAAAAAAATTGTTTTTCCTGCATTTTGATGATGGTGTTCTGCAGATTCTTTTGTTCTTTCATACCTGTTTGTTTCTTCGAATAGGATGATAAAATGTATATTTTATCAAATAGTTACTGCATTTTTGGACGAACTTGTATACCTCTCGATGATGATTAGTTAGGTTGCTTTTGTTATGTTTTGGTCTGCTTGTACCTGATCATGTATATCATTGTTTTTGTATTATTTTGTTGTTTCCATGTTCTTCTTCTCAAGCTTGAAAAAAGATAAAAATAAAAAATAAAAAAACTGGGAAGAAATAATGTAAGAATTTTAAGAGTATGGTTGGGGTATAGGATGAAGGGTAGTAATAATAAGTAATAATGTGATATTTGAAAAACAAAAGGTGAATTTTTGTGTGATGTATGATTGTGTAATGATTGATAGTAGGTAATATGATGTTCTTGTGATTGATATCTGGAAAAAAATTTGTGTTTGTCATTTTGTGAAAGAGAGGGGTCAGCTGAGATTTTGAGAAAAGGAAAGGCAAAATAATTTTCCACCTTTCTCAAAAGGCAAATTGGAAAGTTGTTACACATACAGTGACATGAAATCAGTACAATTTAGCACTGTTGCATTTAGTTGTCTGTTCTTCCAATTGAAGCAAATGGCTTATTTATAACATTCATCATTTTGTCTTAAAAGTCCCTGCTTGGGTCCTCTATGTTTCATCTCTTTCCTCAACAACACATACTACTATCATATATGGGTGCTGTATAGATGGTATTTGTCAATGGTGATATAAATTTGACAGCAGGATGGGCATAAAATGGAATCACAAAATATATTGCTAATTTATGCAATTTTTTTTATCATTCATGCTTATATATTAATGCAGAATATTCTGATATAATCTCTTATGTGTCGAATGTCCGGTGCTTCGTAATCTCCTATGTATTTTAAAGTTATAAATTATTTGACTAATTTAAACTACAAATATATTATATAAAAGTCAATAATTTTCGTGTTTGTTATCAGATTTTTATATATAATATGTTAAATCAATTATCTCATAACGATTTTCGATTTGACATATTTATTGCATATATAAATAAATATGTAAAATTACCTTTCTTGGATCAGCGGCGTCTCGATATGAGGAATTTTCAACTTCTCGGGTCCATTTGACCCGGTAAGTTATCACATCAACTTGTATTACTCGAAACCATACCCATAGGATTATGAATCACCAGAATTCCACAAATATAATTACTGAGTCATAAGAAATGAACACTTAGGACGAGGAAATTCTGCATCATAGCAAATATTATTCCAAATTTTGAAAATACTTTTTTCACTTCACTATGAAAATATATTAAGTTTTCATACCACCAGATGACAAGTTAATTTTTACCCTGAAAGTGAAAAAATATTGTGCGATGAATATGTGGTCCATTCGCATAACCTTTCGTACTTCTGAGTTTGAAAAAATTAAATGTGAAGGCATTGTACGGTGAATATGCAATTGATATGCGACAGTTATGTTGTCTATTCACGTAGCTTTTTTGGTTTGTTTTTGCCATTGTGAACAACATAATATATCGTTATAGTGTGTTGAAAAAGATGTGCCCCTTCAGAAATTTACCATATTGGTAACTATTGAATTCATTTACAAATTCTTTTTTTCCAATATTATAGTTAATGTATAAATATAATGTATATTAGTTTTACTAATATTTCTATAGGTAAATTTAAAATGTGACATCCCGAAGGAGAATTTGACCAGGAATTTTGAACCGTTGGATCACATTGGAGGGCTCAAAATCATTCACTCCGTTTTAATCCTGACAAGTTAGTACAGCTTTTAATTTTGGAAAAGGGATCATCATATAAATATAAAATTACTAGCATCTTAAAGGGCTCTATATAGTTACTAGCTCCAATGCTATGCCACGTTACTGCTAATAACAACAGGCAATGGCACAGTAGATAAATAATTGAACAATACCAACAAAATTAGTGAATTAAATATTACTAACAGAAAAAAAGATAATAATTAGGTAAAGAGTCTAGTTGTCATTACTCATTAGGCTCCCGAGATAATCAAAGGGTACCATATTTTTAGGATCATGCTTCCCCATCTCTCTGCTTGGATTATTCTAAGATTACAATAAAATAAGCCAATGGAATAAAGAGGCCTAAATATTATCTTGAATTGAACTNTAATCATCACATTAATTAATTGATTACAAGAAATAAATAAAAACGAAATAAAGTCAGCATCTACATAACAAATTCTCCAGATTTACCTAGTAACCAATAATAATCTGAACATAAACAAGCTCAAACGCACAAAGTAACAAGAACAAAAAAAAATAATAATAATAATAAAAAAAATAAAATACCAACCAAAAAACAATTAAAAAACAAACACATGACTAATTATTATCATTATTAATATATTCCACATAAATCTTCTCATCATCTTCTCCCTCAATCTAACCTCCCTTCCTCACCGGAAAAAGCGGCGGCAAAGCCGACGCATTATTCCGGCTAGCATGCGTGTAGATTGGGACATTCACCATCGGCCTTATCCTTATACTTGCCGACCTCGTCCTCTCAAGCCCTTTCTTCACCCTACTCACCACTTTCTCTTTACTACTCCCACCTTTCCTCCTCTCATCCAAACCAGAAGAAGAAGAAGATGAAGATGAAGATGAAGATGAAGATGAAGAAGATGGAGATAAAGTGGAAGGCCTTTGCCTTTTCAACCTAAGCAACTCTTTCCACAAAACCGTACACTTTGGCGGCCTTGGTGACGGGTCGTCGTCAAGGAACCAACTTATCCTTCTCTCGTCATCGCCCGATTTGGTGTCCTCGTGAGGCTCGGGTGTTTTTTTCAAAGTGATTTTTTCGAGTTTTTCGGTTTGCCAAAAGGGGAGGAGCTTGCCCTCTCGGAAAAGCTCGTCGGCGCTCATCATCATCATGTCGGTTTTTAGGTTGGTGGAGAGGAACTCGAAATTGTCGGGGACTCGTGTTTGTTTGACCTTTGGTTCATTTTCGGGTTGGAGATAGTGTTGGTTGGGGCAGATGGAGATGAAGTTGGACTCGTCGAGGAGGTCGGAGGAGAAGGAGATTCGGGCCGGGCTTGATGGGCTTTCCGAGAGAGGGAGTTTCGGGGGCCCGGCTGGAGTTTTGAGGGTTTCTTCTAGGCTCACCATTTCTTCTATTTTATTTTTTCTTTTTTTTTTGGGTNAACTGTTGAGTGGACTATTTACTTGGGATGGTGAGAGGGTTAATAAAATGATGGGAAACTCGCAGTCACAGTTTCAATGCAGAACATAAATATCCTAAAAAGTTGTCAAAACTGTTACGAAATTGATTCATCCAACTTGATGATCGGTGAGGCATAAGGGCCGTATATATATTCACAAAAAGGATCCGAAAATACAAGGAAAAAAGAATCCCTAAATGACTATTAATAAGCCTCCTACCAAAAATAAATGATACACCAAATAGTACATAATATTACATTAATCCTCCACCCCCAAGTCGGAGCATCGGATTTCGGATGCTCACCTTACCTAGAAAAAAATAAAACTAGCGTTTGCCCAAGGCCTTGTTGAAAACGTCCACCAATGAGACCGAGTGGACACATGAGTTGCCACGATGAGACCTTGAATAATTGCATCACGAAGAAAATGGCAATCGACTTCAATATGCTTAGTGCGCTCATGGAAGACTGGATTAGCAGCAATGTGGAGTGATGCCTGATTGTCACAATGAATTCGCATGGGCTGAGAATGAGCCACCAAGACTAGGAAATAAACACAGCAACCATTTCAACTCACAAAAAAGAGTAGCCATAGCTCGATACTATGTCTCGGCAGAAGAACGAACATCTGTGTGTTGCTTCTTGGTGCGCCAAGAAAGTGGGGGAGTGACCAAGCTATACGAACCACCCCGCGAGAGACCGGCGTGTAGTAGGACATGTCGCCCAGTCAGAGTCATACCAACCATAAACTTGTAAATAACATTGGAACTAAGAAGAATACCCTGACCTAGAGTACACTTCAAATCACGAACCACCCGAAGAGTGGTATCCCAATGAGCCTAACGAGGCTGCTGCATAAACTGAGATAAGGTATGAATGGCGTAGGATAAATCAGACCGAGTGACAGTCAAGTAGATCACGCTCCCTACGAGGCGGTGATAGCGCTCGGGGTCAGAGAACAGAGGACCCTCCGCCAAAGGAAGTTGGTGGTTCTGTTTCATAGGAAACTCAGTCGGCTTACCACCAAGTAGGCCGGTCTCAGTCACAATATCAGAAGTATACTTTCATTGGCACAAAAACATGCCTGAAGCATTCCGAGCAACCTCAATACCCAGAAAATATTTCTACATACTCAAATCCTTCATATGGAAATATCGTCCCAAATAGTCCTTAAAGGCAGCAATAGCGACTAGATCGCTTCCAGAAATGATCAGATCATCAATGTAAACTAGAACATGTAAACTCAATGAGTCACGATGAACAATAAATAATGAATAATTAGAATATGACTGCTGAAAACCATACGGCAGTGGAGCAGAAGCAAGCTTCGCAAACTAACACCGAGGAACTTGCTTCAAACCATATAGAAATCGACGTAATTGACAAATCTTATCAGGATCAGACGAATGAAAACTAGGAGGAAGTTTCATGGAGACCTCCTCAGACAGATCCCCATGCAACAACGTATTGTGCATGTCCATCTGATGAACCTCCCAATGTTGAGCAGTTGCAACAGCAAGAAAAGTCCGTACAGTAACCATCTTTACGAGAGGTGCAAATGTCTCGTGATAGTCAATGTCCTCCACCTGTCTGTTACCAAGACAACCAAACGCGCGTTGTAGCGCTCAACGGAAACATCAAAGTTATATTTAATCTTGTAAATCCACTTGCAACCAATCGCGTGTTTACCAGTAGGAAGAGAAACAAGATCCCAAATATGATTCGATTCCAATGCTCGAATCTCTAGTTGCATAGTCGAACGCCAACGACTATCCGAACAGCCTCAGAAAAAGTCCGAGGCTCAACAACAGAAAAAATGACTGTCAGAAATGACTGATGTGCAGGAAGAAATCACGCTCTAGCCAATTGATTAGTAAAATTGCAAAACAAATTACGAGCTTTAGTCAATTTAAATACAACTTTTTATTTCGACAATTTAAATGATAAATTTTGTTTCTTTTAAATTGAGGTATGGACTAAGGTTTTAGTGAGGTGAATTATGTGTCCAAAAATAATTTTTAATATGGATTACAATAAAATTAAAATTATTCCAACCCATTCACAACATGACTAGATAACAAATAGAAATTTAATTGCCAAATCTAAACAACACATGTGAATCTTGACTGAAGTAGCAACAGATCTATTTCATTTATGAAGAACCTATGATTTATATAGTTTGAGGTAACATATATTGGATTTAAGTCGAGTGACGTTTAGGATTTAAAACAACAACATTATTCTAAAATATGGGTTCAATTTCAATTTCTTGTGTCAATTGTAAACTGGTCTAGAGAACCAGGGGAAAATTTCAAAATTAGTCCCACAGGTATAGGGGGTGACAATTTTGGTCCCGACGGAATGCAGAAAATATGAATAGTCCCACAGCTTTTAAAAAATGATCAAAAGTAAGACTTTTTCACCGGATTTACTATTTTCGGCCCGGAACGCCACGTGGCATCTGACGTGTTCATATTTTTTTACTAGTTGTGGGACTAGTTTTGAATTTTCTGCATTCTATCGGGACAAAAAATGTCACTCCTCTATACTTATGGGACTAGTTTTGAATTTTTTTCCTATCTACGTCGGATGCCAGCGTGTAAAAAAATAAGCCACGTGTGCGCCACGTATGCGCCACTTGTACGCCACGTGGCGCTCCGGGCCGAAAATAGTAAATCCGGCGAAAGAGTCCTACTTTTGATCATTTTTTAAAAGTTGTGGGACTATTCATATTTTGTGCATTCCGTCGGGACCAAAATTGTCACCACCCTATATCTGTGAGAGTAATTTTGAAATTTTCCCAGAGAACCACAAATAGATTTTATTTGTGTAGCACTACAAAAAAGATGTTATATTCCAACGGAAAATCCTATGGTAATATATTCTAATGGAAATTCCAACGGATATTCCAATAGTATAGCTTTCGTTGGAATCATTCCAACGGAAATTCCAACGAAAATATTCCGTTGAAATGTATTTTCATTGGAATTTTAGATGAAATTTGATGATTCCAAGGGCTATATTTCCAACGGCTTTTGACCGTAGGAATTTCCGTTGGAATATGCAATTTCCGTTGGAATTTTTATTTCCACCACCGTTGGAAAATCTACCATTGGAATCGTCCAAAATCCAACAGAAATTTCAATAGAAAACTCATTCCAACGGAATATTTTTGTTGGAATTTCCGTTGAAATAATTCCAACGGAAATAATAACATTGAAATATACATTGGAATTGTCGTTGGAATTCTATTGGAATATAATTTCGTTGGAATTTCATCATTTTCTTGTAGTGTAGGGCATAATTTAGATTTTTTTTTTCTCATTTATTTTGCAGACGGTAGAAACAATAACTTTTCATTTCTTAGTTTATGCCTTAGGCTTAAGAAATTATAAGTTTGTGTCTTGCCAAATTAAAATGTTTTATTTAAATTACAATTGAAATCTTATAATTTGTTTTGCAAATTATAG